AAAGGAAACTAATAGACAAAGAGCTCTAACGAAATTTGAAGAGTGAGAGGCCATTTTCATCTGGAGGCAGCTAGAAGATGTGGCAGGTGAGCTGGGCTTTCAAGGAAGAGGTAGATTTCCATGGGTAGTCATTCCATGGCCAACACTAGCTCAGAGAGGTGAAGGATTGCTAGGGAAAAGCTAACAATACAGTTTAGCTAGAACATGGAACATGTGATGAAGGATAGTATGAAATATGCCAGGGAAGTGGAGGTAGGTAGAGGGCAGGTAGAGATCACCTTAAATTATCTTTCATCCTATACACAGTGTGACATTAAAAAACTTAAAGAGACATAATTTCTAGGTAATTTAATAATTTTATTAATAAGGCTAGCTTGCTTATTAATAAAATAGAAGTCAGTGGTCCTCTTGAATGCCCAAGACTCTCATGGTGGTGGGCTCACATTTTATATAACCTTGGAAGAGTAAATGTTCCTGAGGGTGGCAATCAATTCTGATTGAGTACCAATTAATGACAAAATGAATATTATAATGAGATATGGGCTTATTCTAATAAGAGTATTGAGGTACATGACTTGTATCACCCAAGTCTTGGTCAAAGAGACTTGTTAATTTCCATATCACCTGTCTGACAAACACTTTTCAATACTTTCTCAGACCTATCTGAGCAAACACAATGAGCAGGAATCCTCCCATTAGCCCAAACTTAGAATTTGTCTGATTAGATTAGCCTGGGTAAGTCTTTGAGCAAGATTTCCCACACTGGTTGATTTCTAGACGAGAAAGTAGAAAAGGGGAAAAACTTTGGTCCTGATACAATAATTAGTTATTAAATACAAGAGAGAAATAGTCATTTCTCTCAATAGTAAAGTGTCAATGAAGGTTTCTGAGCTAGGGAGTGATGTGGTCCAAACTATGCTTTAGGAAGACGTTTTTGGCAGTAACGTGAGGGATAAAGTAGAAAAGAAGAAACTAGAGGTAGGGAGACAAGTTTGGAAATCATTACAATAGTCTAGTTGAGAGGTGATAAGGTTAGTTGCAAGGGGTAAAGAAAGGAAAGGATAGATTCGAGATTTTGTGGAGGTAGAGTTTGAGTCCAGAAGGACATCTGGGTAGAAATAGCCAGCAGACAGTCATAAATATAAGATTGGAGCTCAGGGAAGAAATTGGAGTTGGATTTAGATATTTAAGAGTAATCCACACAGAGGTGAAGCCGCAAGTTTGGTTGAGCTCACCTTAAAAAACTATAAAGAAAAAAAGGAAGGCCAAGTTCAGAGTCTTGGGGGTATACCCATATTTTAATGGTAAGAGAAAGATAATGTGCCATCAAAGGAGACCAGCAAAAAATGTTTAGATAAGAAGGAGAACCATCACCAAAAGTCACATGTCACATGTCATCTAATGTCACATGTCATCTAATGTCACATGAAGAAATAATTACTCAGAAGAGAATTAGTCAATAGTGTCAAATGCAGCAGTCAAGAAGGATGGGAGTTGAGAAATAGTTGTTGGATTTGTCTATTAAAAAGGTCACTGATGACCTCGGAAAGAGAAGTTTCAGTAGATTGAGGAAATCAGGTTTCAAGGGATTAAGGAATGAATGGATGGTAAGGAAAAGGAGATACTGTGCATCTGGTACTTTCTTTCCAAAAATTTATCTATGAAGTAGATCAGAGATATGTCATAATAGGCAGAGGAAACGGAAGGCATTTGTTTTCTTTGGATTTTTAGGATATAATGTGTTTCAGATAGTGTGGAAGGAATAAATAGGGGAGAAGATTGAAGATATGAAAGAGGGAATGATTGATAGATCAAAATGGATTTCTAGAAGACAAAGGAATGAGGTGACCTTTGTAGAGGAGAGGCAAGGCTGAGAAGTTATGACCCCTGCCTTAGGGCTAAGCCATCATGACTTGCATGATAACATCACCCCAAGAAATCCTGACTCCAGAAATCTCTATCCTGGTAGTTCCCCCCTCTGGGAAGCTTACCCAGTGACCTGATATTGTTGACCTTCAAAATGGAGGTGGCCTAAATATTAAAAAAAAATAAAAAGATATGGAGAAAGTATGGTTTTATCATTCAGACAAGGCCCTTTGGACTTCATCCTGATTTTTCTTCCAAGTAAGGTGTCCCTCAGGACAGCATGGCCATAGTCTCGAACGGTTTGTAATTGATGAGTTCCCTGTCTCTGTGGGGTTGGCATAGGATGAGATGAAAAAGAAGGCATGGGCGATTCATTTCATGTTGCTATGGGAAAACACAATTATACAAAGTCTACCTATTCCTTAAATTCTATCTTCTATAAGAAGGCTTACCTGGTCACTCCAGCCCATAACAATCTCTCCTTCTTTTGTACTCTGGTAGCACTTCTGTATTACTCAGTATTTAACATCTCCTATCCTGTAACTTTTAACTTTCTGTGCATATTAATTTTAGATCCCTCCCATTCTTTCCCAACCTCCTAATATCATTGTCACAAGTTTCTCATGAGTGGAAGTCTTGTCTTATACTTATACAGCACCTAGAGATCACATATTAAGTAAAAAATCATTAATTGAATGATTAAATAAATGAGAAAAACAATTGTTTAGTCTTTATTGGAATTTATTTTCTCCCTTGATGCTGAGTAACTTCTCTGCTTCTGATTCAACAGAAGAAAAACAGCTGATTTTACTCTCCCACCCCTTGGTGGTGAGCAGTCACATTCAGGTGCCAATTGGAAGAGACAGAAAGGGAAGTGACATACATCTTGGCTAGATAAGAGGTTAGATGGGTAAGTTCAAAGGCATAGGGTAGACAAAACAAGATGGAGGTTGAGATAGAACAAGTCTGTATCTGGCTGCCATTGTCTGAGCCCTGCTGCTCCACAAAGGATGAACAAAGCTTGGCAGAATGTGTGGCATCCTAAACAGCCCAGTCGATGAACAGCAAGCCAAGAAGCAGAGACAGCTGGAGGTTACTGCCTATTACAGATCCATGAGGAGAAAAGTGGCAGCACAGAGAGCCAGTCATAACTACTAAGCTTCTGCATCTCTCTCCTCTGTCATTTGTACTTCAAACTCCTGGGAGGCTGAGTGTTGAACACTATTTGGAAATTGTTGTGTTGTATTCCCTAAACTCCTTTGCGGGTTCACAAGAACGGTGGCCATGGTGAAGTTAGAGCAATGGAATTGCCTTTTCCTAAAATGACTAGGTTCATAACGTGCCTATGTATTTGATGGGAGTGGCTGGGATCTTAGGAGAAGTTAGAGGGCAGGCATGCATACAGTAGATGTTTCATTGCGTGGTAGTCCCTTTTTATCCTTTACAAAGGATAAAACACTGTATATAGTTAGGCATGTTTGTTCTTATGGTGGTTGTAAGGGACATGAAATCCATCTCATTAGACCATAGTCATATGGGTAAGGCTCAGTGAAATAGAGCAAATTCAAGGAGAATACCAAATTTCTGGTAGATAGGCCAAAAAACTCATTCTGATTGGGTAGATCCTCACGGATAACATCCCTCAGATTAGAAAGACACGTGTGGAGACTCAGGGAAAGGCAGAGTCAGGAGATGGAAAATCACTTTTCTCTGAGAGCCTCAGAGGGCCTGATACTTTCCCAGGACTCCCTCTAGAGCAAGGTGGAGCACAGAACTGCCAGGGTGAGCATAGTGCTTTCTAAGCACTGGCCCTTTTGGTGAGTTGAACAATGTTATTAGCAAAGCCATCCAGTGTTTAATAAAGATGAAGACACAAGTTCACACAATGGATAAGGAGCTAAGCTTGGATTCAAGGCTCAGGTTCTGGGATTTTAGGTTCAGGTGCTTTTCCACTAGCCTGGCTTCATTGTCCCACGTTTTGGAGGGGATAATGCTTTCATCAGATACCTCATGACTGCTAGCCTTCCTGGGTGTATAGCTGCATGGGGATTCACATCTGGACTGTAATTTCTCATATGTGGAACTGTATTCTCTGTTTAAGAAAAAGTGCAGGGCAGTGCATTTCTTCTTAATAATCAATATCATTGTTATTATCTAGTCCAGGAGTTACTAATGAAGAGGAAGAAGGAAACAGCACTTCTTTCTTTTTATGTACGTGAAATAATAGAAGCTCCAATAGAAACCAACATGTCTATACATCATAGCTGTTGGGTGCTCACAGCAACAAAGTGCTAACAAACACACGGCACACTGTTTGGGAAATGGTTCCAATTTTAGATTTTTATTTTGATTCTGTACTTCTGATGAGAGGTTTATGCAACAGTTTATGCAACTGATAGAAAGAATTAGGAATAGCCCTGAAGTAGTCCAAGGTGCTGGTAAATCAGGTAATATTAGCCTGGTGGAAAATAGGACAGTATCTGGTGTGAGATAACAATTCAAATAATCAATATAAATGATATACAATAAGCAATTTCACACCTTGGTTGCAGTCAACCCTACCTGGGTTAATAATACATTGACTTCCAGAAAACTTCTAAAACCCGTTGAGAATAATTCAGGTTAAATAAGGACACGGTAGCTCCAAAGCCCATAGCATTGAGGTTACCCCAGAGTGACCAGAGTGACCCCTTTTTGGGAAAAACTCCCACCTAGCTAGAGAAATGAGGCCTGGGAAACAGAATGGGATAAAGTATGATCAGGCAAGAGCTTTTGTTTTTTTAAAGCAGAAGAGATTGGGAAAGTAAATGCGGATTAAAGGTTTTGCTTGCTTGTTTCTTGGTTGGCCTGGGCCACAAACCATGAAAAATTCACATGGAAATGAATCAGATGTGTTACTTCAGTTCCAACCAACCTGAATGTCTCATTCTACCAGGGGCGGGAAGTGCAATCGCTGCGATGGTCTTGAATGATGATCAGTAAATCCCTTGTTATTTTCAGGCTCACCCTGGAGCTTTGAGTGGGCCTACAGGAAGTGGAGCTAGTCCAAATGGTAGGTCTGACTTAGGGACCAGCTCAATGGAATCTGTCCTAAAGATTGTTTCTAGGGGAAGAAAATAATTAAATAGAACAACTTAAACAGATTTTTTGCTGTTTAGGGTTTTAGACTGACGTTGACACTTTGGGAAAGTTTTAATCTGGTGAGCATAACTTTTAGTGTATTTGTTACTGTTCTCCTTAGAAACACTGTCTGGGAACCCTCCTCCTCTTGACCCATCCCTTGCCTTGGAACAGGACTTGTGTGTCTCAGCTTCATAGGGACTATCCCCTGAGTCTGAGGACAAGACATCTTGGGATTGCTTCTTTATGTCAAATTTCTTCTTGTTCTTATTCCTTTTTGAATTCTCATCTGTTAAGTCTCTTAATGGGCCAGTCTCAACCTCTTCGAAAGGAAAGAGCATAAAATCAGAATTCATCTCCTCCTCTTGCCTAGAAAAAAAGTAATTGGAGTTAGGTAGAATCTGCTGAGAGGCACTGGAAGGACATGGCTAGTGACATGTAAACACAGGCTCACAAGCTGGCTTCAGGATATTTCTCCAGCAATCATTCCATGGGCCCCTACACACAATGAAAATATTCTTACCAGAAACACCAGAGAGTTTCAAGTCACCTGGATTTATTTCACTCAAGTCATTTTTATAAGACTTTGGGGATATAAAAGAACCAGCACATAGGTTAGGCTAGGTTTGACATTGCAATTCAACAAACTTGCATGGAACCCTGCATGTAAAGCATTGGGATCTACATGGCCACCAAAATGGATTTTCCTCTACTTCATACAGTGGTCTGATACCCAAATAATCAAATAAGTCACCCAATACAAGATACATAAACCCAAAACTTTGAGAGGAGAATGACTACTTACCCTCATCTGGACTAGGTTCCCACTCCCCACTTTTGCCACCCTCCCAAATGTCTCTATCTAAAGGTACGTGTCACAAAATTTTCCAAATTAAAAAAAAAACTGAAAACAAAATAGAGCATGCCAGTGAAACACAAATCTTGGAGGGTCCTACCAAGCTGGAAAAGTTTTATGTAGGGCCAGTGCTTTAACTGAGGCAGTGTGACTGGGGTTTTACCCAGAGCACAAAATTTGGAAGGTGTCAAACTTATAGGGTGCTGACAGCATTTTCAATTTTTCAGCATTGTAGGAGTAACAACATTTAGCACATGGTTGGCAAGAATAATTAGAACAGGCAGTTACAGGAGGATGGATTGTAATGAACTTCTTCCTTAACCAGCACTGCTTGCCTTGAGCACCCCCTCCACCCAAACACACCCACACACAACTGAGAGTACACTTTGTGTTACTTGCCCGAGGAGCAAAAATTCTTGGTGATAGCTCTGAATATGCATCCACTGATGTACTATATGCCAACAACCAACAGCCATCTCTCTAAATCTGGAAAGGCTTATCACTAGGTTGGCTACCAGGCAATGAATTTTTCAAACACAGCAACTCTTGAAGACCATGTATTAAAAATTATGATCTGAATCAGTGAAGGGAGAGCCCATGTGGATAAAATCACGAATCAGTGAAGCATTAATGTACATAGATTTAAGTTTAAAAATTAAGAGAGCCTGATTATAAAGTAATGATATATTTAAAAGTTATCAGAAATTATGCATCTACATAAGTGTTGGGCCCTTCCAAGGGAGGCTTTAAGAGTCTGTGCACATTCAAGTGATGCTGTACCTCCTCAGAACACTTGGAAATAAGTGCCAGTATCCAATCTGTTTTCACAGTCTGTTGATGAATCCCATGGAAAGACCCCTCTTTATTCCTATATAGTCATACTGTGATTCATATTCCTTTGGGCGCCAAAACCCATTTTCTTTACATGGATTTACATTCTTATATATTATTATTTACATTTAGAGCCAAACATAGCTTTCTGGCCTCTAATGTCCCTTCCAGTTCTGAATCTGTGACTCTTTGCTCCATGATTCTATGACCAATGAGGATATTAAAAGTAAACAGTTTCAAAGGAGGAGTTTTCACAAATGTTTTCAGCCACGGCATTATTTTTTTTTTTAAAGATACGTATCACCTTCCAAGGAAACTCCTGTGAAGAGTAGTGGTTATTTGGATGTATAGGTTCAGCTGTTCTGGTATGCTTTAAAAAAAAAAAAAACAACACACACACACACACACACAAAAAAAAAAACACAGGGCAGCTAGGTGGTGCAGTGGATGGAGCACTAGCCCTAAAGTCAGGAGGATCTGAGTTCAAATGAGATCTCAGAACAAACACTCGACACTTACTAGCTGTGTGTCCCTGAGCAAGTCACTTAACCCCAATTGCCTAAAAAAAATCCAAAAAGCAATATTGTTTGGTTGTCTTTGTGGAAAGCATAGACATTTCCTTCTTATTTCTCCTTGTTTTGATCAGGGATAGATCCTGTTAGAGCTACAACTGGAGTGGGATAGAGTTTTTAATCTCAAGGATCTGAAATTTAGAGAACTCTGACAGAGTACTCTTCAGCAGGTTAAAAAAAAGCTAATCTTTCCATCTAATTTATAAGAATTATTGTTTAAAAGAGGAAGCCTCTGCATAGCATGCTTCTACCCTGTTGTAGCCACACTACAGATAAGCTCTTTAGGGACCTAAATCCATTTTTAGTGACTTTTCAGAGTCCCAGGGTCTCTGCTCATTATTTTTTGGATCTCTGTGTCCCCTTGTAGGGGAAAGTGTCCTGAAGCCTTTCCTCCCATGGGGTATTTTGTGTCAAAAATCCTCTCCCCTCAGCCTAAGTCAAGTTAACTGAAAAAGGTTGATGTGAGCATATATTTTATGCTGCTTATCATCCTAGAAACAATTTACAATGTTTTGGGTGCCCATATTTCTAATTGACTCTGGACCTTGTACATATTCTAGCAGGATTCTATGCTTATCTCTCAATGAAAAGCATTATTAAAAAGTGGTGGAAGTTCTGTTTTGGTTTTTTTCGCAATCTGTTAAACGGACAGGGAGAGTTTGGCCAGGGAAAGGACCTCTGGTATTGATATAAATGTTCATTCCTTTGTAAGAACGTGGAAAGACTTACACAGAATGGTGAAGAGTGAAATGAGCAGAACCAGGAGAACACTGGGTACAGTAACAGCAATATTGTTTTAAGAATGACTTTGAATGACTAAGTCATTTTGACTATTATAGATACCCAAATTAAAAATAAAGGTCATGTGAAGAAAGACACTATCTGCACCCAGAGAAAGAACTGATAAATAGAAGCATATATAGAATAATTTTACATACACACACAGCTACCATTAGACACAAATATATATATATATATATATTTGTGTCTAATGGCAGCCATCTCTAGGATGCGATGAGGGGAGAGAAGAAAAAAAGGGAGAAAAGGAAATTTACATGATAACTTTATTATATATTTAAAAGGAATAGTAAGTTGTACATGATGGATTTGCAGTTTCATGTGCAATCATCTTTTTTATTATATGATGATATGGAAATGCTTGTTTTATTCCATAAATTAAAAATTAAATTAAAAAAAGAGCTAAGGGAGGGGAAGAGTAAGAAGACAGTGCTCAGGAAACATGATCAAGATAAATTTTTAGTCAAATAACCAGGAACCCCTTTATACTCAAGAAAATGGTTTGCTTTGATATCAGCTTGGGATAATTCATAATAAAATGCAATTTTGTGAACGAAGCAAATATTTGGCATATGAACTACTATACTTCCCCCAACAAGTATCCTTGAGCTTACCCAAGAAACATTCTGCTTTGAGGAAAGCATGAGGGTGGTTAGAATCCTCACCATGCCATTTCTGAGTGGATAGAAACTTTGACTTATCCCTTAAGCTAGGCATGACCTCCTTGAAGACAGAGGAGACATTGTTCCCAATGAACACTCTCCTTTCTTTCCCCAGTTTCTCCTAAGCACAAAAGCCAAACCATCTGCTTAGTGAAAACCAGTTCATAGTCCAGGCCCAGGACCTAAGAATGCCAAGGTAGAATGGATAATGCAGAGCAAATGAAAGAAAGAAAAGAAGGAAGGAAGGAGGGAAGGAAGGAAAGAAGCAAGGAAGAAAGAAAGAAGGAAAGCAGGTAAAGAAAGAAAAAAGGAAGAAAGAAAGAAAGAAAGAAAGAAAGAAAGAAAGAAAGAAAGAAAG